TAATACTTCATCATCCAGAGGATGTCACCAATTTCTCAGCATCAATCACCAAACTCTCATTGGAGCGATAGGTAAGATAGAGCTCGGGTCCTCGGTCTCCATCCCGGCATACAACTGGCTCAAGGCTTCCTCCTCATAATATACAACCTAAACAGATTCTCGACGGACTCACGTACGGCTTGTTGCTGAGGAGAGAGAGTTGTGGTATCGAATAAGCCCGGGTTGGCGAGTCTGATCATGAACTGGACGAAGGCCTCGGGATAGGACTCATACCCCACCTAAGAAGCTGAACTACATAAAATGGTATCTGATGTCCCTAAGGCATATATTTTTTCTTCTAGAAATTTCGTAGAATTCAGCATTTATCGTTAACGAATAGCGGTTTTCAGCTGAAGTTTCAACGGAGGACAGGAATAATAACTAGCGATTATATGTATTGAGTTGGAATTTAGCTGTCTTCGAAGCGTCACTCATCTATGAGGGGGAGCGAGAAACCCACCTTGCTGAAACTTTGTAAGTTGATGAGCGGGGAAGTTCCAGGGGAGGTCGTTGGGGACAACCTCGAAAGCTTAGCCATGGCGAACCTGCAGACCAACTCATCTAAGGAGTAGAGGTGTGGCAGCCTCACGCGTATCTCCCGGGTGATGCTAATAAATTAGCAGCGAGGGCTATAGTCTCCTCCATCGGAACGGCCTTCACTCGAATCTTGTTCGTTCCTAGAGACCTACAGTGGTACATTTAGATCGGCAAGGCTGCCAGCAATGAGTCACCTCTCAGTGTCACCCAAAGCATCATCAAGTACCTCTGCCTCAGCAGACAACACAGTAGACCTGCTAACGTCATAGAGAGGTCCAGAATAGCTCATGTGGATGAAATCGAACCCACGACCTTCAGATATATACACCAGCGCTTTACCGCTCTACCACGCGACCAACCAAAATATCAAACTCTCTCTCCAGACGTCAGTTTTGTAACCAGTGTTTGAATATTTGCTCGCTTTGCTCAGCTGAGCTTAGGAGTTTCCTCACTAACTATGGAAGTCCATATATGATTCCGGGTAGAAATGGACAGGAATCAACAATAATCTCGCAAAATTTCCACAGAATTTCCACCAACACATGTGGTTGACCATGTGCATATTTTCCCCCCACACTGTTTGTAACAGATCTCCCATTCCTCACCTGTACCAGCTGACGGTCGCTCCCTCGGGTGTGGTCACACCGTCGGCATAGCCGTGGCGCATGATGCGCTCATGAGTCATCCAAGTCGTGTGCAGCCTTCTTACGTCGAGTGAATCTCCTAAAGGCTCCGGGCTCAAATGAACAGGATCATAAGACTCCTCGAAACCCTCCTGATATCTGCTTTTCCAGAACTGTCACTAAAATCTCGCACCACGTAACTCACCTTGCGAGATGGTCTCGAATAATCGG